ACCTTTTTGGTCCGCGGTTCTTTTTCCAGTAACAAATTGCCACGATGATCTAGTTCAGGAAACCAATGATGGTAGATGACTGTACACTTCGGTATTTTTAATGCTGCCGCTACAAGCTGAAGAAGACGCTTCACAGGAGCGTGGAATGGAATGTACAGGGTGTGCTAGTAAGTATAGCTGAATCATCAGTTCGTTGAAAATTGAATATGAGCACTATATGTTCCAGACAATTCTGGACGCTATTTTTTATATAATTTCTCAAACTACTTTTGGTGTTACTGAAGTTAGCGAAGAGCTAATCATGTTTCTGAACATTTCTATGGAAGAATTTGAATAGTAATTTATGATTTCGTAAATATAAGAAACTTTTACTCAGACTTGATTTTTTTCACTAGAGAAGCATCTTCAGCTTATTGGTAATATTTCTTTCTTGTCAGATGTTCTCATGCCCGAAATTCTTAATAATACACTCGTGATCCGGCTCTAAGGACCAATATTTCTTTTCGTCGGCAAAATATAAAGAACTTTTAACCAGAATTACAAAGAATTTCAATAAAAATGGACGGCAATCCTGATATTCACCACACAAAACAACCTGCCAACAGAATCGTGAACATCTTGGAATGAGACGTTTGAACTTGAAGATACTCTTTCATTTCTAATTCATTCGCTAAGATCATGTTTTCGAAATAAAGCCGGTAATGTCGGTGCGGCTCGTAGTTATTGCAGACCAAGATTAGGATGATAGCTGTTATCAAAGTGGTCCGAGTTCAGCGTGAGAATGGCCACCTCCGCAAAGGCATTATTTATTGTCTGAGATTCACACGAAGTGCACTTTGGCGGGGTCGAGACCAGTCCGCTGCCGAGATCTGGGTCGATATTCAATCTCGGAAGTGACTAATTGTTTATGTTTAGTACTCTCCGTGGGGCTGGCAGTGTACAGGTCGAAACTTTTTGATTTTTTCACGTATTATTTTTCTTTGAGCAGTTGGGCAGTGATCACTGACTGAAGTTGTTTGCAAAAAAATCGAAACGTTTCGGTTAGTTTGACTCGAGATTAATTCATAGCGAGTTGTGATATATTACGAATGGAACTGACAACTATTATATTTCACCTCGGTAAGACCTCGTTAATCCTTAGCTCGCACAAGTTTCGACTTCTGAGGGTTGTCGTTCGTAGGGGTGCGACAGCTGGTTAACGGAAAATACAGATTTCAAACTGAAACAGAGTCCAAAACTGACAATTGTGCATAATAATCGTGAAGTTACCTTTTAAGGACGGTTTTGTACAAGTCTAGTAATATATTCTTAACATTATTTTGGTCAATTTAATTTCATTACACTACCATACATTGAATTTTAAATTAGCACTGAGCAGAAAGCATCTGTGATCTTATTTCTTTCTTAAATTGATGTAACTTTCTGTATCAGTGTCATCTTCGTATAGATGTACTTGACAACGTGATAAGGAAGTGGGATAATCAAAAATTATTCTCTATATATAATCCTCCATTTTGTAGCTGCCGACATCTTGAATTTGCATCTTTTTCAAAATGTACTACTATCCTACTAGTCGAACCTTGTCATTTGATACCTATATTAAGGTAGTTGTGGAACCCGCCATTTTGTAGCCGTGGCCATCTTGAACTTGCATCTTTTTTGAAGTGTTGAGTTCCATCAAAAGCTTATGAAATGAAATCTTTATTTCAAATTATTTCTAGCGACGCAACATGGTTCGAGATGACTTTTTTCGCACCACTTCCTCCATCAGTTTGATAGTGATTAGTAAATAAATTTGGTGTCGCACAGATCGGAACATTTTGGTTCGAAACAATTTTTTGGTTTCGTTGAAAATCTACCAAAATTCACAACGCGTTTTGTAATTGAGAGTTTTCAGATTTTTCCTATGAAGAATATGTCCGTATTGTCAGCACAGCATAGAAGGAGACAAGTAGACAATAAAATGAAATCAACCAAATCAGACCCATTTTTCATGACAAGAAAAAATTCCAAAGTGAACATCATCATCCTCATAACTGTAATACTGCGATTGGGCTCACGCGTGGGAACCATGCAAATTCAACGCTACCTATCTGAATTCAATCTAGGTTAGTCATGTTATCGGGACATAACAAATGCTATCAAGATGATCATGTTTCACAATGACAACATAAAAATTGAGATGATACATTTATATTACGTAGATATATACTTTATATTCCACGTATGAATCGCCTATGGTAATAAACAATAACAGTAAGGCGGTTATTCGTTTGAAATTTTTGCAAAATTACTCTGCAAATAATGAGGTGGAGTTTTCCGTTACAGAGCCTTCAATTGTAGAAAAAAATCATCGATGACTTTCATGCATAACAATAACATGTATCGTCTGGTCCGTACTGAAAATCCAAGGTGAAAGCACAACCTCGTTAATCTTCGTTGCCGTATTTGCGCCAAGTAAATAGGTTGAGTTCCTGCAAACCTCTTTTCCTGAAACACGGAATACTGGCACCAACCCCAATCTACGTATCATTTACTAGAATAAATCTTTATATCAAAATAACAATCGCATTGCGCGGAATGCAATTAATTCATCATTATTAATCTCTAAATCCACGCTGATCAAAGACTCAATAATTCACGTCGGTGTCAAAATGTATAATAAACTTCCTGAAGATGTAAAGAACATGGATTCTCTTGAAACTTCCAGAAAAAATGTACACGAAAGACTAGCTTCTAAAGCCTATTACAATCTGACAGAATATTTCAATGACGAAACGATATGAAATTGACGGTGCTTATATATAATAATGTGTGTGTACTTTTACTTAGATGTGTAATTATGTAATTTTGCTATTAATGTAAATTACAAAAAGGATTTGAAGCTCTATAACTTCTATTTAATTTTCTGCGAGCGCTTTCGACAGCTGGTCGTGCTGCCATCTTCTAGGCCCTTCTCTATCTGAATGTGTCATTCTGTTGTGTGTCCTTTTATATGGTCAGAACGCCTCAATACGGGTACTTCAGGTACTTTAGGTAAATTTGCCTGTATCTGGATTACATTTTTTGTGTTGGATCTTTACTAGGTTTATTGTTTCTAGGAGTGTGTATTGATTTGTTTAATATACTGAATGTTAGGTCTTGTTGTGTTTTGATTTGTACTTGTTCCTCGATAAGTGATTTATGACTGTTAAATTTATCACTTATACAGGAACACGGGAGGTGTTCAAAGTATTTTTTTGCCGTGTTTTGTCTGAAAAAAAATAACGTTATATTTCGTCATTGTTGAAGACATGGCTCCCATTTCAAACATTTTCCTTGTTTAGTGGTTTTTGAAATGATTTATCGGGTAAATAAATATACATATTAAACCGGTATGATACGTGAACTATTCGAACATGGTGAAAAAGTGTTATTGTATGCGCAAAGATAAATGAGAATAAATTTATTCCAGTTTGCGTACCTGTAGATGTTTCTCTTAATCATGATAAATGAATATGAATTTGAATAATTCTGTATGGAATTGTGGTATTCACTTCAGTTGTAGAAGTAAATAACATCATTTTCAAGTTCTTAATAGATGGCAGAGGAATTCCGGATGAATTGCTTGGGTAATGAAGCCGTTTGAGGCATACAAGAGTGATTAATATAGGTAATAAAAATAATGATAATTGATAACCGAGATATGGGAATGAAGTTTTTCACGGCTGGCATCAATGAGGTTTTGCCATGGTAGAAATATTCTTCTTGACTGGAACTGAACTGAACTGGATCTGAAGCTCTCATTACTGCCGTGTCATTTATAGTGCTGATTTTCCGCGCACTTTCTGTAATGGCGGGTTTACGCAGATTTTCCGCGCGATTTGGGTGACTTGACTTCGTTTCAGCGTTTTGCAACCTTGTGTGTCAGATCTTTGGTAGAAATGTTCTCTCTGTTGACTGTCTCGTGGTGTTTGTATATTTCTATGATTGAAATTGATACAAAATCGTTGAGTATGATGAAATAAATTGTATTAGTATATAATGAAATGAATGGGAATTTGAAGAAAGAGTGCATTCTTCTGCAAAACAACTGTCGGCTTGTTTAATTATAACACGTCACTATCATCACTGATGTTTTGCCTCTTTTATTATTATCATTTTTATTGATGACATATCATATTTCATTACTTATAATCCTATCCCCGATGAAGACATTGGAAACACAAAAATCTTAAGAATTGGTACAGCCATTCTTGAGTTCTTTCAACATTATTATTATTATCATTTATATTGATAAAATACTTCGATACTTATCCTATTCCCGATGAAGACAAATCCAAAAGCACATAACACATAAACATATGTACTCATTTTTTTAACCTTCCCTGGGATTCCACAAATAATTCAACGCCAAAATTAATCAAATTTATCCAGCCGTTCTAGATTTTCAGCGAGCCTAACTAACAGCAATGAATTTTCATATTTTAGATTCCCAATTTGTATTTTTTTCATAATCACCCTCAGGACTTTCATGCAGTAATCACTACCAAATCAGTCGAGCAACTTTGTCCAAATTCAAGAATATTTGTGAAATTAACTTGGATTTTTTATTTTCTTTTTTCCATTGAACTCCAATGAAATTAATTTTCTCCCCAATCTGGAAAGATTTTGATAACTCCAAGAGTTAATGCATCTTGCTAACTCTTTGTGGAATCAAATATGTCAACCTGTGTCTTCCTCAATCCTCCGTAATCACATGTGCCGTGTACGAAGAAAGCCTGGTATGTAAAGAGTGTGTTAATATTAGTCAAAGCAACTTCGCTCCGCATACTAATAACGAATAAAAATTCTGCTCGACTCTGGTACCCATAAAAATTCGTGCAATCTCTGACCTATTTTGGACATACTGATTCAATTGAATTGGTAATCATTTGGGCAATATGCACTTCCCCACCTCAGTCAAATATTCAGTGTGTTTCGGTATAAATACAGAAGGGATTTTTATTTCGAACATAGTCCAGCTGGTCATCAAACAATCAAGCAAAATGGCTTCACAAATCTTGGTAAGTACAAATTTTTTTTAATTGTATTGGCATCAGGTTGTTTTGATACAATGTATATTCGAACAAAAAAAAATTACAATTGTGTTTAACTGTCATAACAAAATCAACGTGTCAGTCATAACGTTTTCAGTAGAAACCTCAATAATCAAGCACCTACTTGCTTCTTTTATGCTACTTGAAGGGAATTTCATCAAATCCTATTTCCATATATGTTCAAATATATGAGTATGTGGTAGACCTTTGGCATATTCATAAATTTTATTGTGTGAATACTGTGTAGCTCCATATACAATACTGAAAATTTGATATTGTTCCACCTGAATGAATGACAAATTAAGTTTTTTTTTACTTCTTGTAGCTCTTAGTAAACGTGTGTTACTTTTATGTTCCTATCCCACGAAAACAACACAGTGTTATATGATGCAGATAGTTCTTTCGGTTGTTCATTATTATTCTCTAGTTAATCTTCATATGAAGTTGGGTTATGTAACCTGGTAAATCTAGAGCAAATGTTATCGAGTGGTATAACCACAGAGTGATTTGCTGAATAGTGCTTCAGTGAAAATAATCCCATGAAGATTTCTCCTTTACATAAAGGAGTTATCTCTTTTGAGCTCGGTTCAGAGTGATAGTTTTCCGATTGAATTTATTACCTTCATAACTTGGAGACAATAAACTTTTTGATGTCTCTAGAATCAGTTCTAAAACCTAATCCTCTTGAATACCTGTAGGTCCTTACACTAAATATCTCAGATGTTGCAACAAAGCCAAAAGTTTCGAAATTTATGAATCAATATGCAAATGTTATCGAGTGGTATAACCACAGAGTGATTTGCTAAATAGTGCTTCAGTGAAAATAATCCCATGAAGATTTCTCCATAATAAACTTTTTGATGTCTCTAGAATCAGTTCTTAAACCTAATCCTCTTGAATACCTGTAGGTCCTTACACTAAATATCTCAGTTCCGCGAATTTTTTTATCTCAGTTGCCTAGTTGAAAGACAAAGATGTTGCAACAAAGCCAAAAGTTTCTAAATTTATGAATCAATATTTCCAACAGAATTTTCATCTAACCTCATCTATTAGTATCTTCGGTAGCTTCTCATAACTATATCGAGAGTCCTCAGTTATCAACATTTTTTATTATTTCGCACCTAACATCCAGATTTTCTAGTTTACTTGATCTCCAGAACATTTATCATCGAGATAATCAAAATTCCTTGTGCCTATTTATTTATTTACCAATATAGGGGTTACAAAAAGATTAACAAATCCAATCCTCTCATTGAGAGTATCATTATAATAAATTTCATTGAAATAAAACAAGTTCATTGGGATAAATAACCTTTGAGAAAAACCATGTGCAGAGCAATTAAAGAATCACTCCTTTATGAGATTGAAATGTTAACAATGAAAAAACTCATTTTTTATAGAATTTTTGAAGCAAATGCAAATGGCAACCAAATTCATGATCATTGAGTCATTTATTGTTGTGTGTTGGGTATACGTAAGAAAAGTAAAGGACTACCAAAATCAAAATTATTATTGTACTCAAAAGTATACAAACAGTTGTTTTTGTGTTACAATCAATGGCTCAGTATCTTGTGTTCTCTCCTGGGGCATGGTTCTTATGAGCATCCTGAGGTTTTCTTGAGGCAAACGCCCCTATTCTTCTCGAAGAGGGATTTTCAGCTTATATAAAGTGGTGGGTTAGTTTCTGATGCTTCGGATGCTTCTTCTCAGTTGATTCCAGATATGTTCGATGAGATTCAGGTCCGGTCTGCTAGAAGGTCACCCCAAAGTGATGATAATGTGGGGTTATAGGCCTGCTGTCGCTCTGTGACGTATCTGGACATCCGACACCCCATTAGTGTACCTTTGAGTGGTCAAGGATCCATTACGGATGACTGCAAAGTCTGTACGATCATTGACTGTTGTTCCACCCTACTCTATTATTGATCCACCTCCAAATGGGGCTCTTGAAGATGAGCAGCAGGAAATAAACGTTCTTCCCTTCTTCTTTATACTCTGGCCTGACCACCATTACCAAGAAGAGTGAATTCGAGTGGTCACATTATCATATTCATCATAAAATCTATTCTTATACACGATCATCACAGAGTAGTGATTCTTCAATTGTTTTGAAGAGTGTATTTATTAAAAACTCGACATTTCAAAAGGAATACAGTACAAAACTAATCAACACATTCAAACTGAAAAACTGCAAAATTCAGAATATCTAAAGAACATTCTTGTATACTCTTCCAACATTTCACCAACTTACTATAAAAGTTTCGATTTTTTTTTCAGTTCGTTACATTCTTCGCCATCTTCGCCATCTCTAACAGCCTGGGAGGCATAGTTCCTGCAGTCCCAGCAGCTGTCCCAGCAGCCTACTCAGTTCCATACGCTTCATCATACAGTGCCCACGCAGTCAATCATGCCATCGCCGCCCCAGTAGCCGCCCCTCTCGTTGCCGCCCCAGCAGCCGCCCCCGTCGCTAGAGTAGCTCCTGCTCCTGTTGTCGCATCTCCCTACAGCGCCTTACCGTACGCATCTGCACTGCCTTGGGGAGCAGCTTACGCTGGCTTACCAGCTGCCTACTCGGGGTTGCCTTTGGGGGCAGCTTTCCCCTACAACGCTCCTCTCGTAGTAGCCAAGTAAGGTGACGTTGGTTGACAGGTGTGTGCCGATATGTGTTCAAAATTCAAAATTCCGTCAATAGATTCTTTGAAATAACTTTTCTACAACGCGCTGTTGCTGAAAATACCAGAAAACATAATATAAGATCGACCTTTAACGTTATTATCTTCAGTGGAATAATGTGTTCCTAATCTAGGATTATTTCTGTAGATGTCAGCCAAGTTTTCCTGTTATAACCACCTATTAGGCATCAGATAGACCCAGTCATACGTTTCGCTAGATTTAAACAACAATTTCACGGGTAATATTGATTTTATCTATCTCCATAAAATTTAAGAATTGCTTTTCCGCCTACTAGTCCCACTTTAACGGTTTGGAACGCTTACTTTGTCCGATTCTGTTCATTTCGAAGAATCTATACGACACCGATAAAATTAAACACATTGTAGACCGTGTGTTAGGTTCATAAAAAGTTTTTACCGCTGCTCCGTTTGGAAAAGAAAGTGGAACTTGTATATATTGTATATATGTGAAGCTTATGTTATCAATAAATATTTTTAGTCTTGAATAGTAACGCTGGCTTTTTATTTTCTCGTATTAACTATATTATCATACGAATGGAGCGATCATCAATTGTTGTTCGAAGTAGGTTGACATACTCTTCGAACGTCATTATGAACGGAGAATACGATTTGTTCTCCTTTTCTGGTTTTATTTCATGTTTCCTTTAACACGAAGGTAATAAAAATCATGGCATGTGCTGTAAAGGTAAAGATGGTTGTGTTCACGAAATCGTGATATGATTTGCTAATCCTTCATCAGAAAATAGCGACAATCTCGGTGAAAGAAGTACTCACATGGTACCATAATCTCAATGGAAGTTATACCAGCAATTTTTACTGAAATTAGGAACAGGATTTTGAAAATCTGAGCTGGCTCCTCCATTTCAATCTGCTCTAACATAGGCATCATTTAAGAAATCACTTTCTACCTCTCTCTGGAGCTTTCGTTGCTATCAAATTCCTTCAAGTGCTTCAGAATACTCCACATGCAACGTTTTTTAGAAATTCAATTCATTTCAATTCAAATATACTTTATTGTCTGAAGAATAAATTCTTATTGACAAAGCCTTGTGCGAAATATGAATAACGTACACATGAAATCACAAAAGTTTCACAAAAGTAAAAATCACTAAAAGTAAGTGATAACATGAACTGAAAAGAGACATGTAGATAATAACAAACGTTCAGGATATGAGAACATGGTCAATAAAATTAAATAAATCAATTAAGACTAAATTGAATCAAATCAATAAAATATCGTAGATATTACAGTTAGTCTTCTAAATTAAAATTATCATCGTAGAATTCTGCTAAGCTATAATAAGGTCTCACAGAAATCACGTCTGTCAACTCTTTCTTAAGAGCTCTAAGGTCATTTATGGTTCTTATAGCTTGAGTAAGGTGTAAATAATGAAATATTCAACTAGGGTCGAAAAAGGCAGCGGTAATTTACAGCTGAATCTTTGCCTGGTTTGATACATTGGCGCGTCCAAGTTGTTAGCATATCTCAATG